CCATCGTAGCAGATTGTATGGGCCATACCTGTCTTCATTAGCTAAGTCGGTGCAGAACAATAGGAAGGACGTTAAACCCCATTTCATTTCTTTTCTTACTAAATATATTTATACTATGGTTTTCTTCTTTTTTCTTTGTAGATGTGTGTGGTCTATCAGTTCCCGAAGGTCATCAGCAGGAACATCGACGCCGGACATATGGTTTAAAACATGACATACAACCTGATCCGACTACGTCACCATCTCCTGAACATCGTCCATTTAAAACTGATATATTATCAACCAATCAACACGCAGAGTCACCTTATATCCATGCCGTGGCTGATCAAAATATACCGACTATTTTATATAATAATTCTTCCATGGATTCCGCCACGAAACATAAACATCGACGGACATCTATTAAAAATTCAAGACGCAGGCAACGTAGATTACGTAGAAAATCTCGACGCCGACGCAAAACTTCTAAGAAATTACGACGTTCCAAAAATTCTAAAAATAGATCACGTCGACGTGATCGCTCTGGAAATACAGATAAGAAATCACGGCGTCGTAACCGCTCCAAGTCAAAACGTCGACGTAAATCACGAAAGACTAAACGAAAATCAAAAAATAAAGTTTCTAAAAACGAAACAGAAACATCCGAAACGCAAACGAATTCTACTCTTAGACCCGAAACAAATTCCACAGTATTAGACTTTAAACATTCGACTTTGCCTTCCAACACAGGCAACAGAACAAACTCCAAAACTATAGCAGAAATATTAAAACAGTATAGAAGACTCAGATCTCGCCGTTTATCTAGACTACGTCAGAATAACATTAAATCACCAGAAGCAGGAACCCAGGAATCAACTGACGAACATAAAATGAATATTAATAGTCTACAGCGAGATTCCCCAAACCACGTGCCCAGATCATATGTGACGTCACGGCCTTACATGTTATACAGACGACCGATAAAACCGCGTGAACCAGGTCACATCGATCCCAAATCACAAATCCAGAACAGCAGATCTTTACAAATGTCCCGAAGCGTCCCATCTAAATCCAGTCTCTCCGATCTCATGGCACGATTTAAGAAATATGTCCCTTCGGGTTCAATTAGTCAAGGCAGTGACGGAAAGTACCGAATACGCTACAATTACAACCGACCATCTGGCGGACGAAGATGGTCATATCGTCCCAGGGTCCCCCGATACAGACCATACTACCCAGTTCCCCGACCAACACCGCGACCATTGTCTCGTTACGTTTACACAAGTTACAGAGGAAGAAGACAATACGTACCTCGCGCTATCCATACCTTTGTATATAAATACGCCCCTTTTATACCGTTAGTTTATGGTCGGAGCAGGTACGTGTATATTCAACCCTACAACCGCCCCAAACCATCGCAACCTATTTTAAACAATTTGAAGAAATGCTGTTCTAGATATAATACGTTATGTGATGAGGCTATGGTAAGTCTGAGACCGACTAAATCTCCTCCCGGACAGGCTTCCAACACACCAGTTGAAACACCAAAACCTTTTACAACACCACAACCAACAACCACTCCAACCCCTACTACGACATCAACACCTGCAACAACAACAACTGTAACTCCTACAACAACAACGGCCACGACCACTACTACCCTAGTCACAACAACAACTCCCACACCAAAGCCTACACAACCACCAAGAGATCCCGTGACGGATAAACTTGTAACTGAGAATTTCGTATCCTTCGTTTACAGGTACGCTGTGTTTATACCACTGGTCTATCGTAGAAAGAGATATGTATTCATTAAACCTGAAAATCGACCGGTTCCTCCCCGAAATATTTTACGTTCTCTAAGAAGATGTTGTTTCGCATATCGACCAGTCTGCGACAAAGCGATGGCGAACATAACGTCACAGGAAGCTACATCTACCAGGGCACCGTACACACTACCAGAGCAGAAGGCAAACGTCACAGATGTAACTAAAATTGAAGAAATTCGACCAAATACATTTACAGGTACACCTACTAGAGAAAACGAATCAGAACCATTTACGAAGCCACAAAACTCACCGATAACAACAAACCCAAATTTTTCACCAGAGGAGTCAACAGTGTTGCCAGTGAAGTCAACATATTCATCTGTGACAACATCAATATTAGACGATTCAGCAACGACATCAATTACAACTGCAACTGCAGCAACGCCAGTTACATCATCAGAGGAGCCAGCAACTGACTCATTAGTGGAACCAGTTACAACTGCTGCGGAAACGCTGGCAACAACAGCACTAGATGAATCATCAGAGGAACCCTTGACACTATCAACTTTAGCTGATTCATCCACGGAACCACTGATACCAACGACATTAGCTGATTCATCAGCGGAACATGTTACGACAACAGCAGTTGCAGTTGCTTCTTCGGAAGAACCAATGGCCACCTCAGCCGAGTCCTCAGTGGAACCAATTACGACAGACACAGAACAACCCAGGGTAACAACAGCGTTTGATGAATCATCAGAGGAACCCGACACACTCACAACATTAACTGATTCATCCAAGGAACCCGTGTCGCCAACCGAATTACCCGATTCATCCGAGGAACCGGTGACGACAGTCGCAGTTGCAGTTACTTCATCCGAGGAACCAGTGAAGACATCCACATTAGATGATTCGGTCGATGAACTAGTGGTACCAACTACACTAACTGGTACAGAATCACCATCAGCTGATTCATCCGGGGAACCTGCAACAACGGTAGCAGTAGATAATGCTTCAGAGCAACCAGTGACATTGGCTGATTCATCAGGCGTATCAGTGACAACTGCACCATTAAATGATTGGTCGGTAGAACTAGTGACAGCTCCATCGGTAACAACAGAAGCATTAGAAACCATCACCGCACACGTTACTTCACCAGAGCAACTAGTAACTTCAGCTGCATCTTTGAACTCAAGTGATACAAATAAACCTGTATCAACATCGCAGCGACCAGTGTTTATTTTACCCGATGATATAGATGGTTCAGGGGAAATAGAAGAAAGACTATTCATACCTCGAGTTTCGCGGCAACCAGATACTGGCAATAAACCGTCTGCCACTGCACCATAACATGTCAAGCATCTCAGTTAAAGGTTGACTTTCGGACATGAAATGTTCTCACAAATCTGAGGGGTGGAGAATGTTCACCTGGAATAACAAAAACTGCTAAGAAGTGGTAGTAGGATATGAAATGTGTGTCCATGTAAGCCGAACTAAATAGACGTCTTAGTGTTTTTATTAATTTATATAAAACAATCTGTCAAACCTTCACATCACCCACAAACACAACGCTTGAAAAGACTATACAGGTCACAATTCTATGGAATACAATTACTGCTTATTACTGAGGGACGTTTCGACTAGGCTTCTCTAGTCATTATCAAGCAATGATAAAATATGAATATATGACAGGACAATACTAAGTTAATGCTGACCAACCAGAGATACCCCTTAATTACATGTACCTTATAAGCAGTAATTGTATTCCATAGAATTGTGACCTGTATAGTCCAGCTCAGTTACTAAATGCCATTGGAACAATTTGAAAAGACTAATTGGATGACTTTCAACAAACACGTGTGTTTACAAAAAGTGACCTTATAGAGAGCTAAAAGTGGGTGTTATTCAAGTATATTACCGGAGTTTAAACTTTTTGAATTTATAAATTAGTATGCATTTTATCTAGCTAGTATTATGATTTAAAATTCATTAATGTTCGCAGATTATTCTGGCTGGCATTGACTCATTGATGGTTTCAGACCTAAAAAGAAGAAAGGCATGTACTTTTCAACCAGTCAAAGTTTTGAAACCTTTTATAATAATTATCTATGTTTGCATTTCATCATTATTTACCGGTGTGTGTACATTTTCGTGTAGATTTTTTTTTTAATTCATTTTTTTAAATCGTTGGATTCATTTATTTTTGTATTATCAAAAGCTGATTAAAGTGAAAATCCTGCAAACTGGTCTCATTGGTATTATAATATATCATAATCATGTTAATGCGCAATTTATTTGATAAAATCTTACATTGATGAAGCACGTGATCGTCAGATCAAAGTACAGCAAAATTTTACAATTTCTTATTTTCATATATTGTACGTTAAAGTGACGGATGCTTTTTTAAAACAAAATTAAAAGAAATGAAATGAAATGAAATGGGGTTTAAGGTTTTACTGTTCTGCTCTGAACTGGGCTAATGAAGAGGGACGTTTGCCCGGGCAGCGGCACTATCGCCTACTCTTATATCGAATTCTTACTGCCAGGGGATCTTTTAGGTGCATTCTAATATATACACGGGAATGCGGTTTTTCGTCTCATCCGAAGGACTAGACAGCTGTCCTTGTCAGGCCCTCCGTCCTGCATCACTGACAAGCGGGAACCACACCGGAAAGCTAAGGTTAGATTTTAAGTCAACTCTAAAGTTTTAGCTAATATTGGGATATAAACTAATGTTTCAATTTAAGCTAATGTTGGGGGTTCAAGGTAAACGCTTATGTTGGGATTTAAGCTATAATGCTGGGGTTTATGCTAATGTGGGGGATTTAGGCTTATGCTGGGGTTTAAGCTAATATTGGAAATGAATCTAATGCTGGAGGTGGCGTTAAAGCTTGCATTGGAATCATGTTACAGTTTTAAGCATGTTCGATTCTAAGCTTATGATTTGCTTTATTTGTATAATTTGCTGAAATTGCGGCATTACACCCAAATCCTACGATAATGTGTTTACTTGTAGACATCGTTCTTTTTGCCCCATCAGAACAACTAGATACTATTTTCTTGTCAGTCCTGCATGGATATTCTAGTGGCAAGCATACAACAACCTCCGCCCAGAATTACAGTTTCGTTAGGCATGTGTTACTTTAAACGATTTGTTTTCAAGTGCAGACGACTATTTCCCGCCCTTTTCCTGACGCTTCACGAGCTAACAGGAAAGCCGGATGACATCATCAAGGTCATCAATAGTTTTATATAATTCATTGTTAGTATTAAATATATCAGTATCTGGGAACGTGGTTGATATGGACACGACGGTATAGTATTTTAGCGTTTTAAACTCTCGCTAAAATCCGACAAGATGGCATCCTCTATTACTATTTTACTATTGGTGGCCATTCTGGTAGTGATAGGTGAGTACATTTATTTTCCGAACGACTAGACAGCTGTTGTTGTCAGAACCTCCGTCCTGTATCACTGACAAGGGGAAACCACGCCAGAAAATCCCGATAAAGTTTTTCGGTCAATATAGGTATCGAACACGCGAAGCCAGCGTCTTACCCACTTAGCCACGGTGACTCCTACATAGAAAAATAGAAATGAAATGGATGAAAAGGGGGTTAACACCCTACGTTTTTACACTGACTGCGTTAACGAAAGAATTAACGTTCACTCGACACAAACAAGGCCATTTCGGGATTAACATATGGTTTAATTTTACTTCAATAATTCGCTTGTGCGTAGGGGTCTTTAGCTGTGGGAGGAGTCGGAGGACCAGGAGAAAATCCACGAGGTTGAACAGGCGATCCTACTTCTTGTCATATTCAAGTAGATATTCGAAATCACGCCAATTGGCTCAATGACAACCCTTGTGATTTCACGCGCAGACGGAAAACCACTATAGACCCCTCCCCCACCCACCCAGTGTAAGAATGGCGGGTTAAAAAGGGTAGGGGAGTGAGGAATGGGGTTTAACTACCACTCAAAATATCCTAGGTCATTTCGGGACTAACATATGGTTTAATTTTATTTCAATAATTCGCTTGCGTGTAGGGGTTTTTAGCAGTGGGAGGAAACCGGATGACCCGGAGAAAACCCACGAGGTTGGACAGGCCACCTTACTCCTTGCCACATTCAACAATTGACTCAATAACATACCTTGTGATTTCACGCGCACACGGTAAACCACTATACCCCCCCCCCCCCACACACACACACACCCACACACACCCACCCACACCCATATAAGAATGGCGGGTTAAAAAGGGTAGAAGAGCGAGGAATGTGGTTTAACGTCAACTCGACACATACTAGGTCATTTCGGGACTAACATATGGTTTAATTTTATTTCAATTATCTTCTTGCGCGTAGGGTTTTTTATCAATGGGGAGGGGAGGGGGCGGAGAAAACCCACGAGGTTGGACAGACGACCCTACTCCTTGTCACTTATAACCGGGGAATCGAAACCACGCCAGTTGACTAAATGACAGACAGACTTTATGATACAGCGTGCACACCGTAACCATTAAGCCATTCAATCCCCCTTAAATATTTTATAATGGTGGAGGAAGAACAGATACTTCAAATATTACATCTGTTATAGGACTATGGCACGTGAGACGACAATAAACACTTCCCTCTTTCAGAAACCCAGAAGTAATTGAGAAAGCGATAACAATTGTGCCAAAGTTATCGTTTCCCAAGCCGTGTCAAAGGTCGTTCAGTTGACCGACTGATTAAAAGAGTGATCTCCCCTGAACTGTTCACGAACGTCTCAACGAGATTGTAACGGGATTCATTCCACATGTGGGCCTGTGAATTGAGATCCCGTAAAATGCGCCCACACGGTGAAGATATTAAGTTATTAATAAACAATAAGTCGCAAGTTTTAATGGGGTTTTTCTCTGTTTCTCAATTAGACAATTGTACACCGAGACTGTGCGGTGTGGGGGTATATATTAAGGGTTCATATGGTTGATCTATTTGATAAGTTTAGTCACGAGATATGAACAGGGCTAGCGCTAATCCCAACCCTAACCCTGGACCTAGCTCTAATGGTTTCCCTAACCCTAGCCAATCTCGCTAACAATCACGTCCCCTAACCATGATGAAATAGTTAGCGCCACTTTACGGGCAAAAAGTCCTCATACTAATTGTAGTGTCTAATGAATATGTATGTATTCCATATAAGGTTACTTATTAATGACATGAATATGTATGTATTCCATATAAGGTTACTTATTAATCACATGATCACCATGTCAATTATTGTACCCCTCTATTGTTAATTAGAGTTGCGTGTATGGAATTAATCAAATCTGGTTGATTAGATTCATGTGTGTATTTTAATCTGAGTTAAATCCAATGCAATCCTTGAGATATATGGGCGGGGGGGGGGGGGGCGAATGGTTAGTGCGTGCGCGCTGTATCATAAGATCTGTCATTTAGTCAACTGGCGTGGTTTCAGTTCACCGGTTGTATGTGACAAGGAGTATATAGGGTCGCCTGTCCAAGTTCTCCCTTGTCAGTGATGCTCCGTTTTCCATTTGTCCTGTTCGGAGCAGAACAGTAGATCGTTAAACCCCGTGTCATTTTCATTTTATTTCTTATCTTGATTGTTTTATATATTTCAGATGTGGACACATCTGGTGCCAAGAGATTTAAATATACAGATTCGTCACTGAAAGAAGGGCGAGTGGTAGACGTGAAGATACCGGATCCAGATTTTCATTCGTCTGACCAAGTAACCCCAGATGAAAAACTCACTAGATTGAGGCGCCATATATTTGGGGGTAATTGGAGACGTGGACATCGACAGAAAGCAACACCTTACGGTAGGACGCGCAAACGACTTGTCCATTCCCGTCGAATACCAGGTAGTGACGGCAAAGAAAAGAGCTTTTCCTGGTTCCATCGATGGCCAGGTAGTGACGGCAAAGACAAGAGATTTTCCTGGTACCATCACTGGACGTCTGGGGATGGTAATACTCACCGTCGATTTTCCATCCATACTAATATCTTCAACCGCGACAGACAACCTGTTAAACCGACTCATGAAACGACTTCACTTAAACCTGATCACGTCAGACACCCCGATAAACCCGCTTATCAAAGATGGCCGCATAAACCTGATGCTGACAGAGAGCAAGATAAACCAGGTCACAGCAGCCAACTTCATAAGCCATGGTCTATTTTTAAACCAATACGCCATCGATATCCCCCTCCTAGACCATCACGCGACTGGTCATCTTGGTGGACACGTCCAACTAATCCCCTGTCCCATTTCATTCAGTCTGCAATAAATGCTTTTGGTGGGAGAAAATCGTGGTATCAGACCACTAAAGAGTTTGTCTATGAGTACGCGCCATTTATACCACTTGTCTACAAACAAGATAAATACACCTTTGTTAAACCCATCGGCAGACCAATGCCACAAGTATATGTCTTGCATAAGTTGAGAATTAGCTGTATCAAATACCCTTCACTATGTGACGAAGCCATGAAAAACATAACAAAAAACGATCAGGAGCCAGAAAAACCATCCGAAAAACCGGGACAATGGCCGGAAATCATAGGGAAACCTCAACGACCAACTGAAAAACCAATGAAAATACCCGAAGACCCGGCTACCACTGTCCAAATTACAGATGCTGGTATGACAACAACGTTACTGAGTAGTACAGCAGATTATACAACGACGACAATGACATTGGGTACTACGTCAAATTATCCATTGACGACAACCACATCGGGTACTACGTCAAATTATCCAATGACGACAACGACATTGGCTACTACGTCAAAACCAGTGCCCACAGAGAAAGAAGTGTTTTTACCACCTGAGGGATCTGGTGAAGTTGGTCCAGAACTTTTTATTCCTCCTGAAGTAGCTGCAGAATAAACTTTTAATATAACTTTTGATAATATGTTATATACCTGGCTTTTTATGCTAATTGTAATAAGCTAACACAGGTTGGCCCTACGCGTTGCCATGGTAAAGCGTCCATGTATATCTGCTTACATTTTGCGGGGATTTTGTTTTTATTTTTTATTTCCAAGTCTGTCGAGCGAAATTGTATTAGAACACAATGTAAATACATTTAATAAACTTTGACTAAATTTATAATGGGCTTTATTAATTGATCATATTTTGTTAATATTTGAAGAGCCCCGGGGAAGAACGATCTAAGTCACTTTTTCAAGAACCCCCAGTTAATGGCGCCATCTGGTAGCAAATTGTATAATCTTTCTGTGGAAAAATCAATTTCAGGTAAAAACGAACCAAGTCACATCGAAACAAGGCCCTTATAAAATGGCTTCCCGGAAAAATACGTCCATCGTACCCTTTATTTGACCTTAATTTTGCTGAAAAGTGGAAGTCAGTTGTTGTACTGGTAATTATGATTCGTATTAAACATCATTTTAAAGTTGTAATTAAACCCACTCGTTGTTCTATTCGCGTCAAGCATTCTCGTCCAAAAGTCTGTTTTGCCTTTTATGCGAAAAAACAAAAATGTGACTTAGATCGTCCTTTCCCTGGATCTGAGATTTGAGATCTGTGAATATTTATGGGAATCACGGTGACTGAGTGAGTAAAGCCAAAGGGCTAGGTAACTAGGAGGTACCGTGTTCGATCTCTGTGTTGGCTGAGAAAAGGCCTTAAGAATATTTTCAGAGTGATTTCCCCTTCTCTATGGTGTAGGGTCGAGGGCTTGGGAGCTACCTAGTCATGCACATACAGGAACCCTTGGCAGGTGTCCGGGCAAATTTCACTCATATCACATCATTGCATGGTGTGTGTCGGTTTGCGTTAGCTTGGTTGTCCCCAACCCTACTCCAAAAAGAAAACTGAAACTGGCCAATATTAAAACCGAGCTAGGTGCCGAATCCATCGAGATCCCTCTATATTGAACCCTCTTGAGACAGGACCCCGGAGTCTTGTCAGTCAACAGTGCTGTTTTACCATGTCGCAAATGACCAGATGGTTCTAATACAATTGAGTTGTTTTCTGTCAGATTGTTGGAAGGCCAAGAATGATCATCGAGACTTTCCGGCGTGGTCTCTCCTTGCCAGTGGTTTTAGGGCCGTGAGTCTGACATGGCACAACGTCTAGTCGTTCGTATGGGACCACAAAACGAGTAACACATTGGCGTGTACGTAATAAAACATTTGACAGTTGTAATGTCCATCTTCAATAGCCCGGATGTAGTAGAATGGGGGGGGGGGGGGTCACAGTAGCTGAGTAAACACGATTTTTCCCACTAGCCAGGTGATCCAATGTTCGATTCCGATATTGGCTGAGAAAGTGCATCAGGGGTTTTTATTGCGGTTCCCTTGCCAGTTAGGACGTGTGGCGGGGACGGGGTGGGGCTGACATAGGACAACGTATAGTCTTTCGAATAGGACGAAAAACCTAGGTCCCGTACAATTGCCTTACACGTAAAGAACACTTGACTGTTGGTATTGCCGCAAGGAAACGAATCGGCGGGTTGAATGCACGCCGACCAAATAAATAGGTATTAGATCTACATATTGTGTATATTTGGTTAATTTAGTGCGATTGTCGAATAACAACAAATAAATACAAGGTTATCAATTCTTCTGTTACTAGGATCTTAATAAATCAAGCTCCATTGCACCTACTTCTTAACGGGTCCTCTCACGGTCATGTTGAATTTCGGTCACCTACAGTTAGCCATCACCGGTAATATTCAAGCTATAACTATCGCATGATATGATAGGGATGATCGAGACTAAACACCTGACAACCTAATGTTGGTAGGGTTTAACGTATACTCCACACAACCCAGGTCATTTCGGAACTAACATATGATTCAATTTTATTTCAATAATTCTCTTGCATGTAGGGGTCTTTAGCAGTGGGAGAAAACCGTAGGACCCGGAGAAAAAACACGAAGTTGAACAAGCGACCCTACTCCTTGTCACGTACAAGCGGAGAATCGAAAACACGCCATATGACTCAATGAAAGACCTTAGAACGCGCACGCGTTATCCATTCGGCCATCCACCTCCACTTTAATTGATAAATACTGGTTATTAATCTTCGGATCTTTTAAACCAGTAAATGAAATGATATAAAATGGGGTTTAACGTCCTACTGTTCTGCTCCTAAATGAGCTAATGAAGACGGGCATACGCCATAAAGTGTGCTATGAGGGAAATTTTGCCGGGACAGCGGCACTATCGCCTACTCTTATATCGAATTCCAACTGCCAAGGGATCTTTTACGTGCATTCCAATGTATACACGGGACCTCGGTTTTTCGTCTCATCCGAAAGACTAGACAGCTGTCCTTGTCAGGCCCTCCGTCCTGCATCAGACACTGACAAGGGGGAACCACGCCGGAAAATCTGGATGAACTTTAAACCAGTAAAGATTTTATTATGTACTGTTATACTAAATGAGGGCAATATACATATATGGGCATCCATTACAGGCATTGACGTGTACGTGAAAGATCCTTGACAGTTGGACTTCGATGTAAGAATAGGCCGTCGTCTGGGCAAACATTCCCTCATGTATGGTATAAACTTATCTATTTCATTTCATTTCAATCTCAGGCGGGCAGAAACACACAAGTTGCTAGGATTACATAAATGACATCATTTCACACCCAAACACGGTGGTGTAAAAAGAGAGAGAAATGGGGTGTAACATCCACTCGACACAAACTATTTCATTGCGGCATTAACACGGGATTAATACATGGTTCAAATCTTTATTTCAATAATGCCACGGTCCGGGCGAAATCTCCCTCATGACATGCTGTATATGTCCGCCTACAATAGCCCAGTCGGTGCAAAACAGTAGGACGTAAAACTCTCTTTCATTTCGTAGTTGGGGATCACGTGGCTAAGTGGTTAAGACGCTGGCTCGCTAGCCTGGAGGTCGGGTGTTCGATCCCTGCATTGGCCGTGGTTCCCCCTTGTCAGTGATGCAGGACGGAGGGCCTGACAAGAACAGCTGTCTAGTCCTCCGGATGAGACGAAAAACCGAGGTCCCGTGTATACATTGGAATGCACGTAAAAGATCCCTTGGCAGTTGGAATTCGATATAAGAGTAGGCGATAGTGCCGCTGCCCGGGCAAAATTTCCCTCATAGTACACTGTATGGCGTATGCCCGTCTTCATTAGCCCAGTATAGGAGCAGAACAGTAAGACGTTAAAACCCCATTTCATTTTCATTTCGTAGTTACCCATTGACTTGCGATATGCAATCTGAGACGATCACACGTAGTGAGTATCCAAGAGAGAACGGGTATGTCAAACGTTGCATCAAACGGTATGACACAACTAGTTGAGTTATATCCACATTGAAATGAAGATTTTTATTCCACTAGTATTAATAGCTGGTTAGTTACATTTCTTTTATTCATAATAGACCTAAAACCATGAGACGGGTTAAGAATTTTTCGATAGGGGTTTTATTGTTAGTTCGTTTTTTACTGGTTTTTTTTTTTGATGTTGGGTATTTGTGTGATTTTTTGTGTTTTTAGTTATTGTTGGTGGGCTTTTGTTTTATTTGATTTTGTTTGCGATTTGTTTTGTAGGGATTGGTAAAATTCAGACTTCTCGCTGTTGTGTTTCTTTGTTATGTGTTTTAATTTGTAGAGATAGAAAAAGTAAAATTAATATATATTCTCCCAGGATCCATATGAAATGAAATGGGATTTAACGTTCTGGTGTTCTGCTCCTTGAAAGCTTGTGGATGCGATACAAGCTTCTATATGAATGTTTGTTGGGACGCTAAACCCTATTTCATTACATTTCATATTTTATAGTTGCTATTTGCCAAGTCTTGCAAGCTGTCGCGCCACCGATAGAAGATGACAATGCTGGAACTCAACTGCAAAACACTCAACAAAAGAAAGAAGTTGATATAAATCAGGATGTAGGGATAAAGTCGGACAAGACAAGTGCCCATTTTCTTAGGATTAATGAAAGTAACTTAAGGGTTCTTCATAAAAGAAGTCCAGGAAGAAGTCGGGAGAGATACGGTCACAGATATGGTGCAGGAAGAAGTCGAGAGAGATACGGTTACAGATATGGTGCAGGAAGAAGTCGAGAGAGATACGGTTATAGATATGGTGCAGGAAGAAGTCGAGGTTCACATGGTAGAGGTCGCCATCATGGTGGACGGTATAGGACGAATACCAGAGATTACTATCCTAGTGGACGATCCTATGGAGGGAGATCACGTGGTGGACGTTCTCGTTCTAGAGAGAGATACGATTGGTCAAGCGATGCTAATTACTATCATAGAGATGGGTTATTAGAAGATAGTGTCATCGACAGCAATGGCGGAATAAATCGTACCTGCACGTGCCCTTTTCGACCTCAGCGCAATGTTGAAAAGAGTATGTATATTCAATATAATTAATTTCATTAACCAGGAACCGGGATTAACGTCATCGTCACCATCTTGGAATTGTGACGTCATATCAAAAATTGAATTGACAGAGTCTTGTGCTTTTTTCGTAGAGCGTCGCCACCAACAAAATGAGTAGCGCATGGGGACCAGATCCTCGTCTAAAATTCGGTCGAGTACACAGCCGAGCTGATGCACATTTTTCTCCCAAAATCACACTTGACCATAGAACAGAAAATAATTCCAACTGTCAAGGGATCTTTTTACATGTACGCCAATCTGTACACGGGAACTCGGTTTCGGTTTTTAAGTCTCGAGAAGTAAACAGTGCTAGGACTAACCCTAACCCTGGACCAAGCCTAGTCCTTACCCTAACCCTAACGCACAAACCACGTATGACATCATATGTAGGGCCGTCTGCGATCTAGCGTTCTCCCAAAATGAATTCAAAGTTGTTACCTAGTTTAACATTATTTTTTTTTTTTTTAAAATACATTTGTATGAAAGAGAATGGACCTAGTAGTGATCCTTGGTAACATCGTACTTTTACGTAAAACGGTGATCAATTATAGTTTGTCTTTTCTTTTTTTAAGTTAACGAGGCTGATAGCGATAGTGATGAAGACGACGATGATAGTGATGAAGACGATGATGATAGCGATGAATATCATAGCGCATGGGAGAGAGTTTTCTCCACGCACCCATGCTGTCAACAGAACTGAGTCATTGAAATGAAATGAAATAGGGTTTAACTCCTACTGTTCTGCTCTGACTGGGCTAATAAAGACAGGCTACGCCATACAGTGTGTTATTGGGGACATATTGCCCGGACAGCGGCGCTACAGCCTACTCTTATATCGAATTCCAACTGCCAAGGGATCTTTTACGTGCACGCCAATGTGTACACGGGACCTCAATTTTCCATCCCATCCGAACGACTAGACAGCTGTCCTTGTCCTGCATCACTGACAAGGGGGAACCACGCCGGAAAATCAGGATGAACTTTCTCGGCCAATGCAGAGATTGAACCCGCGATCTCCAGGCGAGCGAGCCAGCGTCTTACCCACTTAGCCATCGTGGCTCCCCATTGAAACATAATAAAGATAATGTCGACACACTTCATAGTATAAAAGTAATTTTGAAATTGTATTTCCTAGTTTTGAAAGTTTAGATAATTAAATTCCTGTATACCTAGCTGCATGTTTAGAAACCATGACAAATGGAATTCGAAATAAGACTAGGCCGTAGTGCCGTTGTCCGGACTAAATTACCCCCATATTACACTGCGCATGGCGTATGCCCATCTTCATTATCCCGGTTTGTGCAGACAAGTAGGACGTTAAACCCTATTTTACTTCATTCATTTGTCGGTCCCAGTTTTATATAATTATTTATTAAATAAGATTGATTTTTTTCCTTATTGAGACAATTTAGAATAAATTCAACATTTTCAAGTTTTTGTTTAATAAAATTTTCTTTTCAGTTTGTTTGGGGTTTTTTTTGTTTTTTTTGGGTTTGTTTGTTTTTGTTTTTTTTTGGCGGGGGGGGGGGGTGTATATAATTGCCTGGGGCACAGCATAATCTGGTAGCGGTCCTAACTGGGATATGTTTAAAGTCCATGGCCGCGATGGTTTTCTTGTTCTGTTGTGTTAACGTGACTAGTTGTAGGGTGAAACAGAGTCACATAGAAAGGGGCGAGTTTCCATGGTTACACGTTCTCACTCATTCCTATTGATATATTAATACCATACTAAACTACGCTGTCTGTCTACCACTTGCACGAGAGAGAGAGAGAGAGGGGGGAGAGGGGCAGTGGTGATAGAGAGAGAGAGAGGGGGGAGAGAGGGACAGTGGGGAGAGAGAGAGAGGGGGGAGAGGGGCAGTGGTGATAGAGAGAGAGAGAGAGAGAAAGAGAGAGAGGGGGAGAGAGGGACAGTGGTGAGAGAGAGAGAGAGAGAGAAAGAGAGAGGGGGGAGAGAGGGAGAGTGGGGGGGGAGAGAGAGAGAGATGAGAGAGACAGCTAGAGAGAGTACGTTTAATGTCCACTTGCCACAAACTATGTCATTTCGGGACTAACATAAATTATGGTTCAATTCTATTTCATTACGCTCGCGCGTATTTAACAGAGGGAAGGAAACCGGAGGACTCGGAGAATTAAAAGCCGAAAAGTTGGACAGGCGACCCTATTCCTTTTCACGTACAAGTTAAACGGGGAATCGAAACCACGCCAGTCGACGCAATGACAGACCTAACCCTCTAAGCGTTAATCATTCGGTCACCCATTCCCCCACCCCTCCTGCATTTGAGAACATACAATAAACCAGTTGACCCTCATTTTAAATCCTTAAATCGATAATTCTAGTCAAAATGGATATTTCGAGAATTTTAAGAAGTATATATATATATTGTGCTTTCATTTAATAAAAGGGGATCGTGGCCGAATGGTTAGCACGCGCGCGCTGTATCAAACGGTCTGTCGACCATTGAGTCAACTAGCGGGGTTTCGATTCCCCGGTTGTACGTGACAAGGAGTAGGGTCGCCTGTCCAACCTCGTGGGTTTTCTCCGGGTCCCCCGGTTTCCTCCCACTGATAAAGACCGATACGCGCAAGCGAATGATTGAAATAAAATTGAACCATGTGTTAGTCCCGAAATGACCTAGTTTGTGTCGAGTGGACGTTAAACCCCATTTCTCTCTCTCATTCAATAAAATTGAAAAGGTTTAATTAGTATTTATGTGTATAACAGAACCGGAGTACGTAGGACCGCATTACAAAATACTAAGGACGGCTGTCTAGTCCTTCGGATGAGACGAAAAACCGAGGTCCCGTGTAAACATTGGAATGCACGTAAAAGATCCCTTGGCAGTTGGAATTCGATATAAGAGTAGGCGATAGTGCCGCTGCCCAGACAAACTTTCCCTCATAGCACACTGTATGGCGTATGCCCGTCTTCATTAGCCGAGTATAGGAACAGAACAGTAGGACGTTAAACCCCATTTCATTTCATTTCATTTCTTTAGTGGAAGTAGAGTAGATAGTTATCTGTGTGTAGAGTGTATTTTAATACCATGTAAACCAAGTCAGGCGGTACGTAGAGCTCGGTGGTTATAATACACAGAATATAGGCACTGAGTCTGCTCAACGTGACAGATGTATTATATATCATAGTAGACTCGATCATCAACACATAATATCTATAACATCCATAACGTCTGGTTGAAAGAGTGTATAACTGGTTCAAGACTTTGGTCAGTTGTAAGAAATAGAACGCCATTAATAGAATTCTAGTGAAAATGGCGACTTTAAGCTTTCTTCTGTGTGCTGTTGTGGGTAAGTTTTCAATTTTAACAAGAATTAACTTGGAATATGAACATATTCAATCTATATATAACAACCGCAGAAATGTATATATGTTTGTAACCCACTGCCTGTACAAATATATGTCCACCATTGTATAATTGTAAACATAAGATTTAACTATTTTATATGTTTGGAGAGAAGTTATATAGGTCTTTGCCTGTTGTTCAATCCAGTTCAGGTTATTGAATAAAATATTGTTTAAACTATAACCGCAGACAACATTCCATAAAGATTAGCCAACATTTTAAGGGCTTGATAAGTTTTAAGTTTAAACGTAGATTTGTGACCCGCTGGCATCTCGTTTTGTTTCGCATCCTTAACAAAATAGATGATGATATGGGACGGCGTCAATAAATAATTGAGGCTTTTTATTTTTTATAAGTCCACTTGGAAATGTGCATGGTCTTATATTGCCGTCGCCTCCATCCGTCGTTTACACTTTCTTGTGAACACTCCACAGACTACATCTATAATCTAGCTGATTGTTTTGAAATTGATATATGTTGTTGTTTACATTACTGAGATGAAGTATCCTATTTAATATCAATAATTTCCGTTATTTCTTCTGGAGTTATGGCCCTTGTTTCACTTTATTGCACCTTGTGTGACAAAAATTATCATTCGATTTGTGTGAAATTTATATGCATTATTTTAAATTAGTAAAACCATGGACGGTATATGGTAAAACGAAGAATCCTATTGAATTTCAGCAATTTCCGTTAATTATGTCTAGAGTTATGGCCCTTGTTTTACTTTGTCGAACCCTATGAATGTTCTAACGGTAAAAATTATCATTCGATTTGTATGAAATTTATATGCATTATCCAAATCAGTGAAACATAGACGTCCATTGCATTTCATTAAATTCAATTAATTACGTTTAGAGTTATGGCCCTTGTTTCACTTTGTTTAATCTTGTGGGTGCTCTAACGATATAGTTTATCATATTATGCATTATTTAAATTAGTGAAACAAAGACGCCCATTGCATTTCATTAAAGTCCATTAATTAATATGTCTAGAGTTATGGGCCTTGTTTCACTTTGTTGAACCTTGTGAATGCCCTAATGACAATTTAGTAAACATCCTATCTGTATGAAATTTATATGCGTTATTTAAATTAATGAAACGAAGAGGCGTGTTGAATTTCAGTATTTCCCGTTAATTACGTCTAGAGTTATGGCCCTTGTTTCATTTTGCTGATATTGACATACACATAAAAGAACAGCTGGAATTCGAAATAAGAGTAGGTCGTAGCGGCGCTGTACTGGCAAACTTTCACTCATTGCACACGCAGGATGACGAATCTCCGTCTTCATTAGCTCCGTCTGTCCAGAAAAATTAAAAAAATGAAATGGAATGGGGTTTAATGTCCTACTGTTCTACTCCTATACGGGGCTGGACATACGACATACAGTGTGCTATGAGATGAATTTTGCCCGGGCAGCGGCACTATGGCCTACTCTTATATCAAATTCCAACTGCCCTTGTCCGTCGGTGCAGAAAAGTAGAATGTTAAAGAACAAATTAAGTAAATAGTGAGGTTGTCCACTGTTGTTGTTTTTATTGTTTTTTATTAAAGATTTAACGTCCAATACAATGAATATGATATTATGGACAGGTTGATTTAATTAAATTATTTACACTTGAAAATTGTTAAAAACACAAAATAAAAAGGTCCTCGGATACCAAAAGTTTTTTAAAGCACACTTATACATGGGAATATTCAGATCTTTTTATGGTTTTTCAGTTTTAGCCGTTGTGCAGGCCGCTGTTATCAGACAACCCGACTCCAATTACCATCGATATAACGTCAACGCCAATCCTTCATCACGTGGTCATCTTAGCCGTCGTTATGGACAACCGGAAGCTGGCGATAGATTATTGTTAGATTTGAACGGAGGTGATCAGTTCCAAGGCAACAGACAGCAGTACAAAACACATTTGGCTAATTTGTTGAGGAATCATTTATCAGGTTTGTTACAGTAGAAGAAGGTCTTTAAAGCGGAAATTGCTTGTGGACGCTCTAGAGGCTAAAGTTAATATCTGATTGACTTTAAATTTATACACAGTGTTCAAGGTCTTGAGACGAAGAAGCCTATTGATTTTCAGCGATTTCCGATAATTACTGCCAGAGTTATGGTCCTTGATCACTTTGAAAAATCTTGTGGACGCTCTAGAGACCAAAGTTAATATCCAATTGACCTTACATTTATACACAGTGTTTGAGGTCATGAGACGAAGAAGCCTATTGATTTTCAACGATTTCCGATAATTACTGCCAGAGTTATGGCCCTTGATCACTTCAAAAAATCTTGTGGACGCTCTCAAGGCCAAAGTTAATATCCAATTGACTTTAAATTTATACACAGTGTTTAAGGTCATGCTACGAAGAATCCTATTGATTTTCAACGATTTCCGATAATTACTGCCAGAGTTATGGCCCTTGATCTCTTCAAAAAATCTTGTGGATGCTCTAGAGGCTAAAGTTAACATCCGATTGACATTAAATTTATACACAGTGTTTAAGGCCATAATATGATGAAGCCTATTGGTTTTCAGCAATTTCTGATAATTACTGCCAGAGTTATTGCCCTTGATCACTTCAAAAAATCTTGTGGATGCTCTAGAAGCGAAAGTTAATATTCGATTGACTTTAAATTTATACACAGTGTTTAAGGTCATGAGACGAAGAAGCCTATTGATTTTCAGCGATTTCTAATATTTGCTGCCAGAATTATGGACCTTGATCACTTTGAAAAATCTTGTGGACGCTCTAGAGGCCAAAGTTAATATCCGATTGACTTTCAATTTATACACAGTATTTAAGGTCATGAGACGAAGAAGCCTATTGATTTTCAGCGATTTCCGATAATTACAGCCAGAGTTATGGCCCTTGATCACTTCAAAAAATCCTGTGGATGCTCTAGAGGCTAAAGTTAATATCCAATTGAGTTTCAATTTATACACAGTGTTTGAGGTCATGAGACGTAGATTCCTATTGATTTTGAACGATATCCGATAATTACTGCCAAAGTTATGGCCCTTGATCACTTATGGCCCTTGATCACTGTGATGCTCTAAAGGCTAAAGTTATTATCCGATTGACTTCAGATTGATACACAGAGTTTAAGATCTTGAGACGAACAAGTATATTCATTTTCAATGAATTTTTATGACTTGAACAGTTAAATCCATGATATTAAAAGCTTTGCATACAAAACGTTAGCATGGGGCAGAACTTTATAAAAACCAAACAAATTCTAATAGTTTTCTGATAATTACTTCGTGAGTTGTTGCTCTTAATCAGATTTTAGTGTATTATAAATGTTTCATTACCGAAAAAAGTAAAACCCTTGTTGACTGCCCGTACGATTTAGTTGCTGTGGGCGTATGTTTCGTTGCCTGGCAACCCATCTTTTATTTTGTCTTTTGTGAATCAGCCATTGCTAATTATTTCTGCATTGTCTTGTAAGATATAGGTTTTTTTTGTTCATTACAAATGGCGCCGGAATCCATAGAATACACGACTCGTGTACTAATTATAAAATGCTCATTGCGACTTCTAAAATATAGGATATTAGGATCCCATATTTTTACAACATCAATATTGGTGGCAATAGACCAATACTGAATTCTAATTCGTGTTTTTAATTTCAAATAGTATGGAAAATAGAGGCTTAGCTACCTTAGAGGCCAAAGGAAAGACCTACAATCAGGGCCGTATGTAGGATTTTAAAAGTGGGGGTGCAGCAATGTGGTGGGGCGCCATAGCCTCCACGTATGTGATATAAGAAAGTTTCGATCACGGCAAACAAACCCATTGGCGTGTGGGCGCCCTTAAAACCGATCGACTGATCAGTGCCTTAAAGCGGAAATTGCAAATTTTCTAAGAAAGTCAAAACGTTATTATTTCTATGTCTTTTGCTCAATAGGTTGTCAACTCACAATTATACGATCATAGGTGTCATTCTCACACTTAAAACTCGTTTACGCCGGAAATAATAACACAATTACCTCCCAATTACCTCCCTTGTTTTCTATTCTCCACCATGGAGTAGCGATATTCAAACGTTTGAAAATAAAGAGTAAAATGATATTTTTGCCAATTTCTCAGCTGGCAATAGTGAATTATAGGATAAATAGGATTATTCTTTAACAAGGTAGGACTGTTTATGGATACCATCTATTTTCAGGCTTTATTTTAATAAATTTTAAAAATATAACTTAAAAAATTGCAATTTCCGCTTTAAGAGCATTACTGTGTGATCATAATCAAGTGTATTATTTTATAATTCAAAGATTGTCAAATAATTTTTTGGTTTTTTTTTTGGATGGGATGGGTGCCCAATTTCTCGGGGCGCCTTGTTTTTCTGGGGGTGCAATGTACCCCCTGCACCCCCGCTAAATACGGCCCTGCCTACAATAGGGGAATTAGCTCTTACCTAATGCACCTTTACATGTTTTTGTATTTCCAGCTACAAGAGGGCGTTATCAACATACTATACGTCATACTATGGACGAGTTCGGCGGAGCTTTATAATTATATAAAAAAAAACTTAATGTGTTTTCAACGAAATGAAGAATTGTAATTCTTTATGAATATGAAACGTTGTTTTGTGTCTTTATAAAGGGAGTAAAAACACTCATATGTGTCCTTGTTTTTAGTTTTTTAGTAAATTACTTTTTATAGCGAGGAGCGAGAGAGAGGGGTTGGGTTGGGTTTACAGTCCACTCGACACAAACATATTATGGTACAATTTTATTTCAATACGTCGCTTGGGCGTAGAGGTCTTCAGCAGTGGGAGGGAACCGGAGGAGCGGAGAAAACCCAAGAGGTTGGACAGGCGAACCTACACCTTGTCACGTACAACCGGGAAATCGAAACCACAACAATGACAGGCCTTATGATAATTTGGCCATCACATACCCCCCCCCCTCACCCCGTGAAACTGGGGGAGAGAGAGAGAGAGAGAGAGAGAGAAATGGGGTTTAACGTCCACTCGACACAAACTAGGTCATTTCCGCACTAACATATGGTTTAATTTTATTTACATAATTCGCTTGCGCGTAGGGGTCTTTAGCAGTGGGAGGAAACCGGAGGCCCCGGAGAAAACCCACGAGTTTGGACAGGCGACCCTACTCCTTGTCACGTACAACCGGGGATTCGATACAGCGCGCGCGCACGCTAACCATTTAGCCATCTAACCCCCCATGAAACTGGGGAGATTGGCTTTTATTGAGCTGTTACGGAACTAAACATACCTAGCAAATTACAGGGCCTGACCAGATTCCCTTCACGTGATTTAATATATTATGCGTTGTTTGTTTATATTCTGTGTATATTGTGTGTTTGGGTTTTCGAGGTAAAAACAACTCATGAATTGGAAAAAATCAGAAGCTTTGGGACAATATTTCTGCTCATTTAGCTAAATACATGTATAGGATTATAATGGAGTGAGTTAAACAAAACGGCGTCATTTTCACTCCCACTTCCCATCCCCCACAGCCCCACACCCCTGTGGATACGCGCCTGAGTGCTTGTGTGTAGTACGTCCCCGGGAGTTTTTTACGTGGGTTCTCCTTTGCCAGGGTCTAAGGGTGCTGGACGGGGGCCCTGGCAAGCCAAAACAAAGCGCCTTGTAGTTCATATGAGACGAAAAACCGAGGTCGCATTACACATTGCCTTGCACGTAAAAGATCCCTTAGCAGTTGGAATTTCGGAGCAGAACAGTAGGACGTTAAACCACTCTTCCATTTCATTTCATTTATTGTGGTGTCTGTATATTGTATCTTGTCCGTAATGTTGTGTTGTGTATTTGCTTGTGGTGTGGTCCCCCTGTACTTACTATTAAAAGTTATTGATGAGAAAATCCCCATTCACATTCTAACTATAATTATAATATATAGTATACAAGTAGATCTCTGAACGTTACTGTAATACCACCGTTACCAAGCTATACAACAATTCAAGCTCCATTTAACACTTCGCTCCAGGCATTGACCGAGAAAATTCATCGGGAGTCTTCGGCGTGGTTTCCCCTTGTCAGTGGTACATGACAGAAAGCCTGACAAGGAACAGTGTCTAGTCGTTCGGATGGGACGAAAACTGGGGTATTGTGTACTCGTTGGACGTGCACCTAAAAGAATCACTGACCGTATGTACATCAAACCACACTGTATGGGACATGTCCGTCTTCATTGGTGCAGAAAATTAGGACGTTATACCCCATTGTATTTTAATATCGCATCTCACTCTATCAAAGTTGCTAGCCTGGAGGTCGGGTGTTCGATCCCTGCATTGGCCGAGAAAGTTCATCCAGATTTTTCGGCGTGGTTCCCCCTTGTCAGTGATGCAGGACGGAGGGCCTGACAAGGACAGCTGTCTAGTCCTTCGGGTGAGACGAAAAACCGAGGTCCCGTGTATACATTGGAATGCACGTAAAAGATCCCTCGGCAGTTGGAATTCGATATAAGAGTAGGCGATAGTGCCGCTGCCCGGGCAAAATTTCCCTCATAGCACACTGTATGGCGTATGCCCGTCTTCATTAGCCCAGCATAGGAGCAGAACAGTAGGACGTTAAACCCCATGCCATTTCATTTCATGTCTATCAAAGTTTCTCGGTATCCACGCCTACTTTCACAGATAGGTAATCTACAGACTTCACTTCTTCCTGATTACACATTAACAATCGGCATTCCTCGATAACTTCCGGTAATTTCCGACAAGTTGAATTCGAGCATCATGCGAGATAGTCATCGCATAGACAGACTCCTAGCCAAAGCTTGAAATGTTCATTATTTGCAAAAATATGCTGGGTTGAAATTTCATCGATCTTCTTGTAAAAAGGCTGTCGCTATTTCGCCGTGAGCGAACAGAAGTGATATGCGTGTTTTAAATCCAATTGAATTCACGTCGGGGGGGGGGGGGGGTATCTAGCGATGGGGGGGGGGGGGCTTGCGCGGTGGATGGCCGAATGGTTAGCACGTACGGGCTGTATCATAAGGACCGTCATTGAGTCAACTGGCGTGATATCGATTCTCCGGTTGTACGTGACAAGGAGTAGGGTCGGCTGTCCAACCGCGTGGGTTTTTCTCCGACTGCAAAAGAAAGACCCTACGCCCAAGCGAATTATTGAAATAAAATTGAACCATGCGTTAGTCCCGAAATGGCCTAGCTTGTGTCGGGTGGACGTTAAACCCATCTCTCTCTCTCTCTCTCTCTCTCTCTCTCTCTCTCTCTCGCCTTTGATTATTAAATATTACGTCAACCATTAAGCACCAATTTGTGAGCACTGCTATTCAAATTCAACTTTGAACTTTCGGCTTACAATCATACAAAAGATGACAATCAAGGTACAATACAACGTGTAAAAAAAAATTATATAATCTATATCACTCTGGGGTTACCCTTGAAATGTTAATCGTACCAACATACTGTAAGTTTCATGTCATCTTACCCTCTCTATCCACAGTGTATTACGTCATTCAGATGAAGACGTCTCGTCCTTTATATGGTCATAGGACAACAAAACCTGGTAAATCAGTCTGATTATTGTAATTATAGAGTTCATCAGGGTAATAGTACTTGAGATAAAAGGAAAACTATTATTATTATTAACAGAAGGAATTGTGCTTGACAACGATGTCGTGCATGATTGTTTTCCCATAAAAAGCTGTTTCTGTTCATTCTTAAAGTAGCTAAATCTCTAACTCAATATCATCCATTGTCTTCGACATTGAAAACACGAATTATTTGTTAATTTAAATCAACATTGATGTTGTGATCTCACCAGGAAAAGATGGGTTTCTGATATCCAATATATAAGACAAAATAAACATTTTACCATTACGAGCACGCCAATGTATACACGGGTCCGACAGCTGTGCTTGTCAGCCCTCCGTTCTGCACCACCGACAAGGGGGAACGACGCCGGAAAATCCTGTTGAACTTTCTCGGCCAATGCAGGGATCGAACACGAGATCTCCAGGCTAGCGAGCCAGCGTCTTACCCACTTAGCCACCGTGGCTCCCAATTTCCCTTATAGCACACTGTATGGTCATGTATGCCCGTCTTCATTATCCCAGTCGAAACAGTAGAACGTTTACCCTCATTTCATACGTCCATGCTTGGATTATATGGGCGTATAACCTTATTGATATTAATTACACTGAATGTTGGTAGTAAAAATGATGAGAAACAGAGAATCTCCTATCTGTCTTGCTTTACATCTGCCATTTTTGGGGTTTTGTTTTGGTTTTTTTTTTACTTTATCGGCAAGTGTTGATATATTCTTAAATCAAAAGGGACGAGTAAGATGAAATTTATCTACTGTAGAATGTGTTATTGGGTGATAAATGTGAATAAAAAAAGTCTATTTGATAACAGGGGGTTGGATGGTTAGCACGTGCGCGGTGTATCATAAGGCCTGTCATTGAGTCAACTGGCGTGGTTTCGAATCCCCGATTGTACGTGACAAGGAGTATGGTAGCCTGTCCAATCTCGTGGGTTTTCTCCGAGTCCTCCGGTTTCCTCCCACTGCTAAAGATCCCTACACGCAAGCGAATTATTGAAATAAAATTCATCAATATGTTAGTCCCGAAATGACCTAGTTGTGTCGAGTGGACATTAAACCCCATTTTTTTCTCTGTCTCTCTCTATCTCTCTCTCTTTGATAAAAACGAACACAAGTAGTGAGTATCTGAGTTTAGATAGATATATATAATTATGTTAATATGTTAAACCACAGATACATGGTCAGCTGTGTAGAAACTCAACAAAGATGAAGATTCGACTTTTCCTAGTTTTAATAGCGGGTAAACTATTTTGTTTTTTGTTTTGTTTTTGTTGTTAAATACGTTCTTAAGAATGACGTATGGCGTATGATTTCATGCAAACTAATCTGCACTGTGGACATCGGCACTTGCAACTGGAGACAAGTTGTCGGATGTTGGGAGCAACTGGGAGCTCCGAAGAGGATACAATTCGTGTTGATGTATGCGCGTTGAATTGGGCAACCAACCAGTGGCTGCCAGTTGCCTCCAGAATGCGTAGATCGACTGCAACCGATAAGTTGCCTTACTTCCAGTCCCTGGACTGTTCATGGTATGGTGATCAAAGATTACACCGAGGCGACTTCAATATCTATGTAGCGTTGAGGCCCTCAACAAGTCATTTTTTTCTATATTAGTAAAGTTCTGTATTTTCCAGTTGTCGTCTTCCAAGTTCTGGAAGCTGCTGAAGCACCAGCAGAAGATGACACACAGTTGAAGACGAGAGATGAAACTTTAATGGATGCCACCAACAATGTCGCAGATACACCGCGCAACCTCGACGATATGAAAATATTGAAAGTAGCAGGACGTCTTCACAAACGAAGTCCTAAGAAAAGTCGAAGCCGTGAGCGATACGGTGGTCGATACGAAGATAGATATAGTGGAAGAAATGATGATCGATATGGTGATGCTTACGTTGACTTGTACAGACGTTTAAGTGGAACGGATCGTTATGGATATAGAACACAGGGAAGTTACTATCAAGGTGGTCGTTCACGTGGTGGTGGACGCTCCAGAGGTAGGGGTGGACGTTCTAGGGGTAGAGGTGGTCGTTCTAGGGGCAGAGGTGGTCGTTCCAGAGGCAGGGGTGG